CATGCTGCTGTCCTTTCCACACAGAAGTCCTAGACGCTCTAGGTGTTCAGCAAATATTTTCTGAGCGACCTTCTTGTTCAATGTGAAGGCCATGGACCAGCAACATCCGGAGGCGCCCCAGACTGCTGAAGTCAGAATCTGCATTTTACCCCGGCGCCCAGGCACTTCTGGGCACATTCTGCTCTATCAGATACCACCCTTCCTTTCTGACGAAGGCCTGTTGGCAGGAAACACTGAGACGGTCTGATGCACCTGGAGAATTATTCAAGCCCAGGGAGTGGAGAAAAAGTGGCTCATTACGTGGCTGCATCTCTGTTTCTTTCTGTCTGACATTGGGCACCTTACTGTGAAGGTAAAGGGAGCAGTAAGTGGGCCCGTGAGAGGAAGTGTAGCAACTGGCAGCGCCCGGCACACAGGTGCTGGGGGAGGGGCCGCTGACCGCCCTGGGCTCGTGCTCAGTGACGAGGGGGGCAAGCAGAGATGGGGTCCCACGGGGGTGGGAGTCTGCAAACACGATCTGACATGGGAACTCTGGATCCAGAAGGGCTGTATGTCTGGTCAGCAACATGTCTGGGAGAGAAATGGGGATGGGCCACCAGGGCAGTGGGCAGTGGGCAGTGGTTCTCTCCAAAGGGAAACTGTTTCCATAAAGGGACGTGAAATACTGAACTTTGGGTCCCGACAGGTGGGAGCAGATAACAGATTCAGAATTGGACCGCCATTCATAAAAGGGAAAATACACTGAGTAAGTGTTCTGAAGACAAGGTTTTCAGCTTGACATGTAGAAAGAGATGGGCTACGGGATCATAAAGGACAATGAAAGAAGGCATAAAGAGGGGATGTGTTTCTCAACATGACAACTGAACAAACACAAAAAACCCACATCAGCAACCAGATTACAAATGATCCCCTAAGGCGCAGTCTGTGGCCCCGAGAAGGAAGTGTCCACAGGATCAGCTCTCACTGGATCAGTTGCCATCCCGATGGCCTCTGAGGGCACTACATCCTCTGTGGTGCTCTGATCCACGGACAGATGTGGATTCTTTGCGAAGTCCTCAGCACCCTCCCGGGGCCCAGGCTCGTACACATATAACTGCTTGGCAAGAGGGAAACAGACACTACAAAGACTGCAAACGTCTGGCACGAGAGGCAGGGCACAAGCCAGGCCTTATATCATGTCTCCCACAGCAGGTACACATTTTCCCTGCTTCCTCTAGAATCTTCTTTCGTCATGAGTAAGAGCTGCTATAGGGATACCATGAGTTCTCAAGGCTCAGGACAACACACAGAGATTTCATTCTCCCTTCCACTCACACAGGTCTAGAGGGTGCTCGGACCACCATTTTGTCTGGGCAGCTGGGAATGGAAGTGACATTCCCTTGGGCAAAGCCCCACCTCTCTATGTGGAGTGAGCTGACCCTGACCGCCTATTCAGACTTACAATCTCAGAATACAGCAGAGAGAACAAAACTCATATCGTTTCTGGGAAGACAAGACCCAGCCACAGAAAAAAGACAGAGAATGGAAAACCGTAGCCAAAGGAGACAATGCCTTGGCCGAGGTCTGAATGGCAGGTGGCCATGGAGCAAAAGGTCCGTGATGTCCTTGTGCACCCCTGGGTAAGGCCAGAAGCATGCTGGGAAAGCTGCAATCCCACCTTCCTGGAAAACAGGGCCACGTCCTGGGGCACCTCAGGAGTCTGGAAGCAGTCCCTCAGCAGCCTGGGAAGGCAGGGGAGGCTCGAGCTGTGAGCCGGGTCCCTCCCTCCTCCAGGACAGCTCCTGGGAGCAGCTGACGACAGCAAGGGCGGATGGTGCTGACTGGGCGTGCTCCCGGGAGACAGGAGGCTCCTGAGCGTGATGGATTGCTTGCACTGTGCTGCAATCCCCTCCTGCCTGGAGGGAAATGACGAAGCACAGGTACAAGAATTTGAACTGCCAAACTGCGTTTGCTTGGTGACTCTTGTTGTTTGTGGGAAATCAGCTCGGGGACAAGCCTCTGTTCTCCTGGGCAGTTACCCCTGGCACATACTGCAGACCCCTTACTCACGGCTGGGTCTGAGGGGCTTGGGATCACTGTAGCTCCCGACCCTGGCATTCAAAATCTTGACTGCCGGTCCTCCCCTAACTTAGACCTCTCCAAACTTGCTTCCCACCTCTCCACAGTTCCAACGACCTCTGTAAGCCAGACTGGCTGCCTTACTCTCTTCTATACAGTGCAGGTTTCACCCTGCACCCGCTTCAAGAAGAGCCTGCCCTTTCCCCTAGGGACCAGACAACCTCTCAGGGTGAGGGGCAGCCTGTTTTATCTGTGGTTAGAAAAGAAAACCAGCAAAACATGGCCCACTCCAGTTTGCTCTGTGAAGCTGGGAGAGGGGACTGGACGAGAGACACACACTAGGGACCAGAGGGGGTTTGATCTTCCCTGGAGAAAGGCACACTTCCAGCAATGAGGCTGCAGCCCTGACCTGGGGTAGAGCGGAGGACAGGGCCTCTCTTGGGTGGAGATGGGTGAGCTGGAGATGAGAGCTGCCCAAGGGCAGGAATAAAGTGGACCCATCAGCTGGAAGGAGAGGACTGTTCTCCAGGCCTGGGTGCTGGGACGGGACTCGCTGGAAGGCAGTGTGAGCCCTGCTATGCATATCAGAGAACCTGGACGACCTGCCTATGATCTGAGGGCCTGCTGGGATGAAGGTTGGGGAGAGAGACTTAGCGGCTTCTAGAGGTGCTAAGCTGGAGGGAAGAGGGGCACGATGCAGGATCCCGTGTCAGCCTCTGCCACCAAAGGCTGGCTCACTAGGCAGGGAAGCCCCCAGGAAGTAGTTGATTCTGATGTTACACATGCTTAAACAGCTTGGTCTGACACGGTGAATGGATACAGGGAGTTGCTGTTTCCCTTTATCTTCCTTCCACAGAAAGGTGCATTTTTCACCCTTCATTCATCTATCCAGCACCTGCCGACCACCTGCATGGTACCCGGCCCTGTGCTGGGCACTGGGGACACAGCAAATGGTCATGACCTTCGCCTCTGGGAGCTCACAGTTGGGCAACAAATAGCACTGTGCCCCAGAGGGCTAGGTGCCCCATACATGCTGCACGCACAGGACTCAACGTTATTAACGTGATTTTCTTTGCATACATTTAACACTGAAGCGAGTACAAACTCTGTTAGGAAATTGCATTTAAATATAGGTACAAAAATGTATTCCCAAATCTGTAGGTGTCTCATTTATCAAAGACACAAAACATTGGGATCTTTCTCCAGATATAGCTTTGTGTTTTACTTTCCCCACTGAAAATCCCATTATGAGCATGTGCCCTGCTTAGAAGGCTTTTATATTCTTTCCAACCTTTCTTTTCAAAAGCTAGACTTTCACTGGCTCAGTTCTTGTAAGTTAAAATAAAATAAGCTGAGTACTTTTTACTCTAATAGCTTTTCATTCATGCATTCATTCATTCAATGGCTATTTCTTGAGCACCTATCACTGGGGTCAGATATGTGCTAAGTCAGAGAAACTTAGAGGTGAACAAGAGAGACAGAGTCCTGCCCTCAGGTTCCTTGGGGTTTAGTGAATTATACCAACCAGAGCCCAGGCTCCCCGAGGTTGGTGACACATAGTTTCCCACTCTGGCTTGCTCCTTTTTCTCTGTCTCTTGCTTGATCCTGAACAGGCGACACAAAGACGGCTCTATACTTTGTTCTTTAGGTCTCATCTGTCTTACCTCTGACTCCTCTACTGGGCGTTTCATCTTCCCTACTTTGTTCAAAGGCAAACGTCTCTGGCTCTCTCCAGAGGTGGGTTTAATTACCGCCTCCCATTTTTCTAGTTGAAAGATTATGGGCGATAAAGTTGTGTGGGGGGAGGAGCCCTTGGAGAGCTGCCTTCTGAGGGGAGTGACCCCAGGTTGGTCCTCGGGTGTCCTTGCTGGGCGCCCCTGGGCGCCCTGAATGCTTGGCTCACAGGCAGCCATTCCAAGTCTGACCGTGACCTCTGTGGTATCCTGGCATCAGTCTGTCCCACAGAAATACAGATGCTTAACATGGCTAATGACACCCTCTCTAGGGCAATTTAAGAAGGAAATATACAGAGAGAAAGAGAAACAGGTAGACTATAACAGGGGCCTGAGGCTTCAAGACACAAGAAGAGAAGACAGTAGACAAAGCCACAAAATGGAGACTCAGTGAAACGCCCTAAGTTTCGAGTGGGTGGCAGCCGGTGAGCCGCAGCAACACAGGAAGCCGAAACTGCAGTGGCTGAGCCACCGAAATGGGCGCAGCCAGCATCCCGGCCCGGCCACTGGAATACTGGCGCCACCACGGGAGCTACTGGTATTCCATAAACCATCCAGTTCTCTGCGAGATCCCTCTATGCAACTGGCCTTGTGCTCCTCATTCCCCTTAGGTCAGCGCTACACCTGTGTCACCTCGGAGGAACCCGAACCCCTGCTCTGTTTTTGCACACCAAAATATCTACACCACGGCAAAAATCCACCTCCGCCTCACGCTGATGCTTCTCCATTCCCAGAACCAACATTTGAGAAACTCCTTCATCCAAAGGCCGGATTCTTCCCGTACACCTTCTGAGCCAGCCCAAAGAACAGGACAACCTGCCCCAGGAGTGATGATGCAAACTTGAGGCATACCAGCTAGACTCGTTCCCTTAGATAAAGTGAATAGGCTTGCTGGTGCTTTCTCCTAAGCACTGTGCAATAATTACTATTGATTCCAAAGTGTCATGAGATTTTAGAAAGGGCGCACTGGACAAATGGGGCATGTGACAGTAGACGAGTTGTCTTGGACTTTCTCAGCTGTAAAATGAGGATGATATGTCACCTCGGAGTTTTAAGAATCAAAAAGCTACTCTATTTCTTTCTGCAGCATGACCACACTTAAAAAATTCCTCTAGCTATAGGTTGTGATGATCTTTAGGGCAGGTCAGCCCCATCTATACACCAAGCAAAGCTGCCTTCACTCAACAGGATTGACAAGAGATGGCCCACCTTGCCAGCCAGGCTTGCAAACTGGCTTCACATCCACCTGCACCAGCGTGTCCTGCGCGGCGGGCTTCTGTCCACAGTCATAGGCGGTCACCAGGATCTCATACTGGCGTTGCTTGTCATAGCTCAGCTTCTCGGTATTTCTAATGTTGCCTGAGGACACAGGGATATTCAAAATTGTTTCAGATCAAATCAACCACACTGCAGTTTCTGTTTTTTATTTAGATTCAATTTAGTTAACATATACCGTATTATTCGTTTTAGAGGTAGAGTTTAGTGCAGCTCTTTAAAATCCCTTCTCTACTCCTCTAACCTTCACCGGAATGGAATGCCCCCTTTCCTCACCTCCTCGTACAAACAAAGGCGAATAGGGGGCATGGCTTTCTCATGCGGCCTGCTTGTGCCTTGGCGACAGATTCCCAGGAACCACTGGCTGGAGCCACCCGGCTGTGGGACAGGACTACTAGGGGATTCCAGGCACACAGCTGGAACCCAACTGGTGTGTTTGTTCATCATGGGTTGTCAGAAAACTCCCTCCTAAAGTGTGCCCATGTGGTCGTGTCCCTGATGATGTGGGGTGCCAAGGCTCATCTGCCATGAAATCTCTGGGAAAAAGATGGGATTCAGAAATGTCCTGACACATATTTTTCAACATCTGGGCTTGTCGCCAGGAATGTTCACTGCCTCTTCTTACATTATTTTGCTACCAAATAGGAAGTAAAATCAATAAGGAAACGTGCGACCTCTCTTCTGAAAGCTACACAGAATAACGGATTCCTTGCCCTGGTGGCAAAGACATTTTTCTTCTCCCAGAGAGACCAAACCACTTTTCTGGGCCATTTGTGAGCTTTTGTTCCTGTGGGTTGATGCTATAATTCGGAAATAAATATTTGATCATTAATGAGCAAAATTCAGATTGGACTACTTTTGCTGAAATATAGTTTTGGTTCTTTGGTTCACATGAATAAAGGCCCCGTGTGCATTTCATTACTTCTCAGTTTTCGATTCCAAGAGAGTGAAATCTTCCTTTGTGGGGAATAATTTCATTCTTACTTTTCTTTTGATAGTGGAGCCGACAGCAGTTTACAACTCCAGTGTTATTATCCTTCAGCAGAAGTGAAATTAAGAAAATGGAAACTTAAAAACAAACAAACCAACATGCTAATAAGCAAACATGGAATGGCTGACTCAGGTATATTTTTACAGTTCATCAAAACTAAGGGAAAAGTCCCTGATGAGCTTTCTTCCATTTCGACGGTTGTCTATGGCTTGTGTGAACTGAGGCAACAGGGACAAAAGTAAGAAAGCCTGGGGAATTACCGAAGTCACGTCATGTTCTGAAGATCGGGAGAGTTGACGCACCGGTCACCCAACACTAGTGAAACGGTCCTCGGTGCCAAGGCCACGGGCAGGGCTCCTCTCGTGGGAACCAGGCCTTCGAAGGCGGGGAGGAGATCTCCTACAAAGCTGACCAAGACTTAGGAGCATTTATTAGGAGCACTTATTCACTGTCTGCTCCAGACTGTTTCTAAAAATGTAATCGCAGCCACCACCGATTTGAAGTAAAATTTCGTTTAACAAAGCCAGTCAAAAATCTCCAAATGAAAATGGGTTTGATGTACTTTTGGCCTCATGCCTGGTGTTCAGAATCACTCTTGCTTCCCTCCCTTCCCCGCCACGAGCTCGGGTCTCAGCTCAGGCCCCCTCCCAGGGCTGGAGCAGCTCAGTGCTGGGTTGGGGACATTCCCTGTGGGTTCTGTTAGCAAACTAGTGTGTGGTTATAGTCCTCACAGGGGAGGAATTCTTGCAGGTTGAAGGGCTGCAATAGAACCCCGTGAAGTAGGTTTCGGCAACATCAAATTGAATTTTGAACAAAAAGTTTTAACTTTCCCTTTCTTTAAAGTTAAATGGCTTTCAAAAGATCCTCCTTTCGAAAGAGGAAGGCTCAGGGCTTACCAGCCATGTGACATTAAGCAGACCAAGCACTACTGACCAGGGTAGAAAAATAAACACACAGGCCGCAATCCCTGGCCCCGTGTGTGGCAGTGGCGCACCCTAGCAAGTCCTAGTGAAACTGTCCCAGAAACGAATGTGCTTTCTCGGCCACCACCTGCTTCATGCATGTGACAATGGGTTTCGCAGCTTGGAATTTGAAGCCTTGGGTCAAATATACCTGTCTAATGTTGTGACCGATGATTGTGCCGGGCAGAGTCCTATTCGGACAAGCACACATTTAAAAATGTTTGGAAGCTCAAAAAGCCACCCGTTTGCTTCTGTTACAACTGCATTATTTTCCCCACTTTTGAAAGATTTCTCCTAGTAGTGTCTCCTTAGGACACCTGAGGCCACGGTTAGCCCAGGTGAGTAGGGACTCCTGGGCCTATTTCTCTGGTCCAGATGAACCTGTGGAAGCTAGCTCTCAAAGAACAATCAGTACCTACCTTGCATATTAGTGAGGGTATTTTATTTTATTATTTTATTTTTTTAAAGGTTTTATTTATTTATTTGACAGAGAGAGAGAGAGAGAGAGCACAAGCAGGGGGAGCAGCAGAGGGAGAGGGAGAAGCAGGGAGCTTGACGTGGGGCTCGGTCCTGATCATGACCTGAGCCGAAGGCAGATGCTTAGCTGACTGAGCCACACAGGTGCCCCATTAGTGAGGGTATTTTAAAACTGAGGCAGGGTAGAAGGACAATGAGACCGGCATGCTGACTGACCTGCACTCTCCTTCCAATGGGATTTAAATTGGAATAACCCCTTTGGAAAGATATATAGGCTAGTCACTTTGCAATTGCTCATGCCTTTTGGGCACGCAATTCCACATCTAAGAAACTGATTCCAGGAGAATGACAAAAATTGCAGATACAGGTGCAAATATATTCGTCTAAGCATTATTTCTTACAGTGAAAAATAATAAACTGGATGTCTGCTAGTATGGGAAGAGCTAAGCAAAGGAGTCTCTGCATCAGATGGGATGATTTTAGCACTAAAAGTGGTAATTCTGAAGTATTCTTAAGGGTGGAAAAAAATCCATATAATTGAATATTAAGCGAGAAAGGGAGGATAGAGAAAAACAAGGAAAGTGTGGCCTTACTTTTGTTAAAAAACTTCACAGAAAAAGTGGCGGTGGACTGTCAATAATGGCTATCTTTGGTGGGATTACAGGTGATTTATTTCCTTCTTCCCACTTTTCTACGCTTTCCAAATTTCCTACAAAGGGCATGCGTTACTTTTCTATTCCGATGGAAAGGAAATGTTTTCATTTACTTTAAAATAAGCAGACTCTACGGTGCACTTTGCCCAGAGACGACAGAGTCCCATGACTCACCGGGGCAGCCTGCTGCCAAAGAGAGGCTGCCTGGGGACCACACAGTTGCTCCCTTTGGTCATCCCCGATGGGACCGAGGGCTTGGTTTGCGCGCCTTGTGTGCCAGTGAGAGCCTTGCTGGCAGAGCGTCTGACCTCTCGCACAGGCACGGTGCTTAGCATGGTATTTCATCCCCATTTTACCGACGAGGATCTGAGGCAAGGGTTAAGTAACTTGTCAAAGATCTCTCTCTCTCTCTCTCTCTCTCTCTCACACACACACACACACACACACACACACAAATAATGGATGCAGGATTCAGATGCAAGTTTGTAGTTTTGAAATTAAAAACCACAGCCATGCATTCCCGTCAAACATCACGAGGAGTTCGGGGACAATATCACTGGTGGAAAGGCATAGGGGCCAACGCTCAGGGGATCTGGGCTCTAGTCCCAACTCTGCCACCAGGGTGACAGGTGCTGTTAGGCAAGTTCTTTATACTTTAGGACTCGGTTTTTTTCATGCATTCAACGAGAATGAGGATCTAGGCCCTATTGATCTCATAGAGACCAGCCAAGTACCAGGAGATGGGGGCCAGAAAGCCATCTGAAGTGAATCCAGAACTTCCTGAGAAGGAATGGATGTCACCAACTCAGTTACCTGCTCCTAATTTCAGCCTGGAAATCCATGGGGAGTGAATAACCTTCATGTCCCAATCACTCAGGTAAATATCTGATGATCGCGGCACCATGAATGGAGTGTTCTCTCTCTGCTTGGTACCCTGTGAACATCATCCCCGGGCACCGCTTCCCTGAGACCTCACAACCCCACAAGGAGGCAGGGGCGTTTCCTGCCATGATTTCACAGGGGAGGAATTTAAGCAGAGGGAAGCTGATGACCTCTGATAGGAAGAGGTTGAGTTTTGGTTTAAGATAGGTCAGGCGGAATCCACATAATATCTTCTATCCTCTCTCCTGACCTGCTTCGTGTCTTTCCCCCCCAAACAAAGAGCCTGGCAGGTTGGAGGGGCCAGGAGCCACCTCCCTGCAGTCATGGGGCTTCATTGAGGGAACCCCAAACTCAGCAGTACATTCTCTGATGTGCAGGCAAAGAACTTCTTCAAGGAGCCCAGAAGGTCGCTGGGAGAAGTGATGGATCAGGGCCAACTGGGAAGCTCATTAGAATGCGAGCAGCCGTTTCTGTGTCTGCCCCCAGGTCCTGCCTTCGTTACTTGGAGAACTGCTTTTGTAAACCTCGCTGTCGGGGGGGCCCACACTCCCTGGGAGTGCCCACTCTCCTCTTCATCTTATATTGTAAACCAGTGTTGGAGGCAGAGGCTTGGCAAAGGACCATTACTCACTTTTAATGAGACAGCTAGGGAAATAAATTGGCATATGTTAGCGAAATGGCTCATCAAGGTGAGTAATTATCTTCATGACTGGGGCAGTTTACTCTCAGATGAAAGGATTTGCATCTCATCTCTCATTGGGCTGTGACTCTCCGGAAGTAAGGGAGGAGGTCAAGAGGAGCTGGACCACTCATCACAGAGATCAGCACTTGTCTCCTCTTGCTCTTCACCAAGGATTCACCACTCCCCAAATTCCACAGCTTTTGTGCATGGGGGCCACACAGTTGATCACAGGGGAACAGAAAAGACAAACCAGTTGTTTTGTGTTTTAAGGAGTGGTGTGTGCGCGTGTGTGCGAGTGTGTGTATGTGTGTGTATCTGATGGGTGTGAGACATGTGTCTGTGTGGTGGGGACAAGCTGGCCACATAACAGGGCCTGTAGGAAAAGCTATCAGGAAGCAGTTTTGATAGGTTCCACTAATTGAAATTACCTACCTCTTCGTCCTGAACCAATCTTTAAAGTCCAGTATTTTCTCCTGTACGCTCCTGCGCACTCATGCACTGATCCTGTGTTCCACACAGTGAGCACCTAGCAATGTCCAGGTTTGCAATTGCCAGTTTCCACATGTTTTATCATTTTACAAGGAAACTGTCTTATTACTATTTTGTCTGTTTTATGAATGTTGCTTTCATCATCCAAGGCAGATCATAAACCACGGGAGGCCAGGGATGAGGGTGTCTCCTTGGCTTCCATCCCCTTCCATCCTGAGAACCTGCCGCAGTTCTCAGGATGCAGAAGGCGGGTTCACAGGATAAGTTTCTCCCGGGTCTTGACATCAAGGAGCACCGGAAGCGCTGATGACGTGCAAGCAGGTGACTGATGGTCTACTTCTCTCGAGGCGTTGGCTACCCGGAGGCCCCAAGCGAATCCTCTGCCTCACCCTGGCTCATGGCAGGCTTTATGCATCACCCTCACCCTCGATGCCACCTAACTTTCTATTTGTTATTTTGACTTTCTTCCCACTGTATGGTAAGCTCCATGTGGGCAGGCCCATGTCTGTTTTGAGTTCTACTCTGCCTCCATTCCCAGTTCCCAGCACCATGCCAGGATTCAGGCCATATTTACAGAGTAGATGAACTTCAGGTTTTGCAACTTTTGCATCTTTGTGCCAGTACTATATGATCCTATTTGAAACAAAGCAGGGGTGCTTTATTTCACTCACGCTATTCAATAATATACTTGGCAAGTCATTATCATTTAACATGGAGTTATTGAAAACTGCATTTAAAGTGGGGTGAGTCGACTGGGCCTCTGGCTGGACTGTTTACACTGTAAGTTTTTTTTATTAATGGTGATGGGGAAATACACAAGTGGCTTTATAGGAATGTTTTCAGTTCAGTAAGTTCAGTTTGGGATTGGGGTATGGTGGGAGGCTTCATTCATTCCTCATTCTCACTATGGTAGAAATTCCCAAAGGACATTGGCAAGCCCATTAAGATTCCTAAATGAATCTAAGCTCATAAGGTGTTTCCAAAAATCTCCACTTTCTCTTTTAGCATTTTTTTTTTTTTTTTGGCTGAGAGCAGGAAGCAGATGACTGGGCTTAGGGGTGGTGTCACAATTGGTGATATAGGAAAGGGGCTCAGATATGGCCGAGTTGATGGCATGGCAATTGGAAAATTCTACCAGAAAACCTGTCCTCAGTATCCAGATGTGTGGCATTACAAGTTCTACAGATAGTATGCATTGAGTAGGTTTCTGAGGTGTTTTGGGGGGATTTCAGACCTGGCTGTGCTGCTAATAATACGAGGCCATCCCCTCCAGCGCGGGATTGAGTTCTGGGTTACAGAGCCCAGGTCATGGATGGCGAGGGAGTCATCACCTGCCACGGACATTCAGAGCCCCCATCTGGCCTTCTGAGAGGGGGTGGTGGAGGTGTTTCCCCGCCCCCCACTGGGGGCCTCTCAGGACACTCACCATTTTTGTCAATGGCAAAGGGCACGTCAGTTGTGACGATTTCATAGTTGCAAATCTGGCTGTACTGGGGGGAGCAGTCCTCATCGATGGCCTCCACCTGCAGGATGCTGTCGTAGATCTTCCCCTCTGTCACGACCGCCTTGTAGGCTGGCTCTTTGAAGGTGGGAGCAAACTCATTGACGTCCTTCACCTGGATGTGGACCACGGCCCTGGGACCACACACGGGAAGGAAGAAGTGGCGGTAAAGGGAGGATGACGCTGTCCTCCCACACCTCCCATGGGCACTGACTCCGGCCCCGGCGCCAAGATTGCACAGAAACCACAGCTAGTCGGGATGGTTGTTGTCTAAGCGCTCCGTCCACCCTCCCACCAGAGAGCCCGCCACCTGTCCCTTCCCGGGTCCTGAGATGAACCCGCCCCTTCTCTGGCCTTCCCTGCTACCCAGCTTTGGGCACCAATTCCCTGGAGATCACCTCCCCTTTCCCTTATTCGCTCCTCCTCTGTTCATTCACTCTTCCTTTCAGTACGAATTTAACCACTCCGACTCCGTGTGAGGCTCAGAGCCAAACTTCATAAGGGAGAGAGTTCCAACCCAAACTAAAAAGTGCTGGGACAGAGACAAGCGTGTGGCATGGCAGAAACCCAGAGAAAGGTCCCAGCCAGGTCTGCAGGGATGGGCCGGCTCAGGGAAGGCTTTTCGGAGGAAGTGACACCTGAGTGCAGGGAAGTGGCAGGTAGCTGAGCAGGCTGGAGCACTGTGGTGTGACCACCGGGTATACACACCTGAGGAGCAGTGTGGGCGGGGGTGGGAGGGGTGCAGGGAGCCCTGCCGGGCCACTCACTTGTGCGACTTCTTCCAGGCCGTCTCCCGGGGCCCCACGCCACAGTCGTAGGCCTGGATGATGAACGTGTACTCCTTCTGCAGCTCGCAGTCGATGGGGCTCTTGGCACGCAGCCGGCCCTCTCCTGACGTCTTGTTGAGCACCACGGCCTCGAAGGGCAGCTCCTGGCCGTGGATCTTGAAGGCACAAATTTCCCCTGCAGAAGGATGGAAGACAGTGAATGGGGATCCTGAGAATTGCCAGACTGAAGACAGAGTTTCTCTTGGACCAGATTTGCAAACCCAAAACCTCCAGGCCATTTCCTCCACACAAAGAATTGGCAAACTAGAAGAAGAGGCCTCCGGAGACCCAGCCCAACATGCTCATTTCAAGGATGGTAAAACTGAAGTCTTTCACACATAGAAATGTCACCCATCCGGTATATCCGGCAGGGGAAAATGGGGAGTCATGGTGCTGGGGCAGCGGGGTTGGGGGGGGCGGCTGGCTGATTGTCCTAGTTTGCTGCTTTTCCTAGCAGCTTTCCCGCTTGCCCTCTGCCCAGTGTGAGAAGAAGGATTTTTGCCCACAGCCTAAAGATAAATGACTGCAGAGGAAAGAGGAAAAGGCCAAAGCTTTCACAGTGTTTTGCCCTCTGAACCAGCGGCAAGAGCATTGCTGGGGAACTTATTAAGAATACAGACCCAAAGGGCCCACCAGACCTCCTGAATCAGAATCTGCATTGTTGTTTTTTTTTTTAACCAGGCCCCTGGTGAGGTGATTTGTTTGCTCACTAAATGTGAGCAGCACTGCTCTAATCTGTCCTCCTGGCTTAAACGCCCCCACGTTGCTGCAGCCAGCTCCCCCGCCCCCCCCTCCACCCACCCCTTCCCTGTGGGGAGAGGGGCACCACTCAGTTGCAATTTTCTCTCCTAACAGTGGGGGTGAGTCTATGCGAGTTCCAGAATCCCCGTGGAGCCTGAAAAGCTAACTTTTTAAAGAGCTGAACATGTTGTGAAATTAATGCACTTCTCCCCCTCAGCTGGGTTAATGTGTATTATAACTATTTCTCTGCACTAAAATTGTAAGACCATGAAAACATCTTCTTTTACTCGATTGATGGATATTTATTTCTTGAACCCCGACTGCAAGGAAGCTCTGTAGTAAGTGCCTTGGGAATGACTGAAAACTTGAGACACGTTCTCTTCCTGTCTTGTTGGGGTGACCATGTCACCCACTGACGGTGCGGGCGGTGGGGTGTGTGTGGAGCATCACGTGCCACAGGCAGCAAAGAGCTCAGCTCTAGGCTACTGGGGGGTAAAACACAGACTTGGAGGCCAGAGGCCTGGAGTCAAATCCTGGGTTTGCCACGTACTTGCTGTTGTTGTCAAATTAGATTGACCTTGGGTCTCAGTTGTGTCACCTATAAAATGGCCCAGGAGATGGTGTAGGGGGAGGGCGTCTACCCTGTGATGCCCCAACCCTGGTCTGACATTGTTCCCACCACACTGCTGGGACCAGGGTGAGGGGCCCAGTGTGCACAATTTAAGGGGGTCCTCACTCTGAGGGCAAACAGGTGTCTTCTTGCCTCTAGTCCAGGCGTGGCCAGCTGTTTCAAAGAGGAAGAGTCTCCTGACACCGTGGGGAGAAGGGGTAACATGATTGCACCCCTGCTCCGCACCAGGCACCGAACTCCGTATCTCCACCCAGGTGACCTTATTCAATCTTCATTGCAAACCTGGAGGCAGGGGTGTTATCCCAATTTGTAAAATTATAAAGAAAAAGGAGAAGGAGGAGGAGGTAGAGGAGGAAGGGGGGGAAGAGAATCTGAATCAGAGAGGTTATCACCTGCTCCAGGTCACAGAGCTGAAGTCGGTAGAAGCCCCAGGTATGGCTAACTCCTGAGCCGTGCCCCTTCTACTCCACGGCAACGGCACCCTCTGTAAGCAGCCCCATAACTTCAAGGGGGCTGCACTGGGATCGCTTCCAGTAGCATTCTATATTCCCATTCAAGTCTCACTCTGGAGAGAAATCCCCCATTTTACATACAGGAAGCATGCCCTGATCTCTTACTAACAATGTTTTCTGAGATGGTCAATCAATACCCATCTTACCTCTAGGCTCTTATTTTTTATTATTTCATCGATCCTCAATTTCATTATGGGCACTCCATTTTCACTACAGCCCCTTCTGGCCATTTCTCAGATGTAGGGGCAGAATAATGGACAAGACAGGCAGGTTGCAGACCAGGCCTAACAAGAGGGACGGATCCCATTCGGCCACTGTTGCTCAGGATCAGTGGTGTCGCTGTCCTGCTCTCGGACAAGGCTAGCTCTGCAGCCCCTCGGGGCGGAACAGCAGGTTTGGTCTGGTTCTCCTGTTTAATTTCTGCTCTGAGTTGGCTGGGGCTGAATGAATGAACTTCTGAAGTACCTGCCTCGTGATTTTATTCCCAAGATCAATGCCAATATGGCAATATTATCAACCAATGTGCCCAACCTGGTTCTGGGGCAGTCTCTGGAGTGCCCAACCACCACATAATTAGAGGACCAATCAGGCCATTTTTCTTTGAAGAGTCGAGTTAAACCGAAAATAAATGAGGGTAATTTTCTGTTGGAAATATTTGATCACCACTAAAGTGGTTCTCAAGACTCAGAAATCCTTAACAAGAAGGAAGGAGAGGACGGAGGAAAAGGAGACACGGGGGAGGGAGAGACACAGGAAGCCTCAGGGCCACACGTTTCATCTAAGTCCAGCTCAGTTCAGTTCAATAAGACCAGAACTTTCTGAGAGCCAAGTAAGTGCCAGGCACCGTGCTGGGCCCGGAGACACAGAGGAAAGGACTTGGATCCCTTAAGAAGCAAGGACAGCCTATCGTCAAGCACTCATTACCTAGAAGAGACAGCAAGTAAACAAGGGCCATAGGATGCTCACGTAGTCTCACCAGCTTGGCCTGAGACAGGATTTAGCCTCTTGGGAACAAACACGAGAGAACTCAGGCCACCCTCATTTAACCCACCTCTTTATCTGACACTTGTGCTCCAGCTGCAAAAACAGTCAACCATTTTTTTCATTCATTCGTTCACTGCATGGATATTTATTAGGGACCATGTGTCCAGCCCTGGTGCCACACTGAGGAGCAAAACCAGACCTAGTCCCGGCCTATATGCTGCTGGCAGTTCAGTGGGAGGACAGTGAGCGATCTGATCCTCACAGCCCTAAATGAAGAAGGGTGACCATGATGCGTGATTGAAGGAGAGCTCCACGGGGCCGAGGAAGTGCTGACCTCTCGGCCAGGCAGGGAGGCCTACATAAGGATGTGACAGCTGAGCTAACAGATCACAGGAGGAGGAGGAACATGCCCAGGCCAGGAGGGAGGCAAGTGAGCTTCAGGCAGAGGAGCAGATCCCTAGGGCGCTTCGCCCAGGGGATCTGCAGGGCCCGTGGGGCAGGAACACAGACCATGGGCAGGGCCGGCTTCATGGGCATGTGACCCAAGAGCCACATAGTGCTCTGTGCTTAAGAGGATCCTGAGCTGGGTTTAAATCTCTGTTGTTACCATCTTGAAATTCTTTTTTTTTTTTTTTTAAAGATTTTGTTTATTTATTTGAGAGACAGAGAGACAGAGAACATGAGAGAGAGCGAGCACAAGCAGGGGGGAGAGTCAGAGGGAGGGAGAAGCAGGCTTCCCGCTGAGCAGGGAGCCCGATGCGGGACTCGATCCCAGGACCCCGGGATCATGACCTGAGCCGAAGGCAGACACTTAACTGACTTGAGCCATGCAGGCGCCCCCCATCTTGAAATTCTTAATAATTTTTTGTTTGAACTTGTGTTTCGCACATGAATTCTGATGGGACAATGCAGCATGTCCGTGAGCAGAGGAGATAGATTCGTTGTTCTTGCCGTTCCATTTACATATAGTGCTCAGGCTGCCCAGTGAGCACAGAATTCCAGAGTGCTCACGATGTGTGGGAGGGTCAGTCGCCTGAGAGTGAGAAGTTAAGCGTGTGATGTCTATGACTGAGGAAGCAGGGAGCTGACCACCCTGAGAGGTTCCCTTTCTGTTTGAACCACAATTGTTTTGAATGCAGAAGGGAGGCAGGGGTGTTTTAAGACACATGACCAAGCAAAATAAAAACAGTTGAGTTCCATTTGTGTTCGTGTGGCATTTACACTGCTCTGGTGAAGAATGAAATACATATGCATACACGAGCTATGAAATGTAAATTCTGTAATTTTGGGAGACTCTGCACAGCAGTTAACTGCTCTTATATTTGCATTTAAAACTGGCATTGCATAGTACAAAGATGAATGGGAAAATTCATGCTCATAATTTAACATTTTAATTTGTCTTTACCTAGAATGACATCAAATAGCAAATTAAGAATACCACAAGTTGAGAGAGGATCTGCGGAAGAAAGGTCCCAGAATGGCGTGCTGAGGGGGAAGGCACCAAACTGCAGTTCCCAGCATCAGTATGTGACTCACTGGGCTGTATCCACCTTTTGTGAGGTCTGCCACTAGAATTTGTTATTATTGATAAAGGACTGCAGTGTGTGTGGGGGGTGATGTGCTTAAAGTAGAAGTTTGTAATGATCATGGTAAGTGGTGGTTTCCATATATAAATATCACTTCAAAAATCTGGCTCTCTGATACGCTTTCTTGGGTAGGAGAGCAGCACACAGACGGGCATGCATACTGGGCCAGCAATGGGCTCTGCGGGGAGGTGAGGGCAGTAGCACCAGGCTGCCAGTCCTCTGGCTGTGAGCCGCACTGGCCGTGGTCTCAGGAGGCTGAACTCGGTCTCCCCCAGATGCCCCCTTGAGAGGCCAGACCAGAAGAGGGGCTCGTGCAGTATCGGGGTGGGGCATGATGGCTCCCCACCTCGGCACCCCTGTCTATCTCACAATTACCTTCTCTTCCACAGACACGCACCTCCCAACACCCCCCAAACACTGGCATAGCTGTCTCTTCAGTCCTCCCATAAGATTCTGGGGGAAATGAATGAAACTGATGGGTGAATGAAATAGATTTTTAGAATGTACTTGGTGCCTAACTTTGAATACCCTTGAACAATAGGTTGTGTTGATTCCATTTTTCAGATGAGGAAACTGAGTCTCAGATTAAGTGGTTCATCCAAAGTCACTTTGATAGTAAGGAGTGGATCAAGGACTGATTTAGGTCCTCTGATTCGGAATCCAGCACACTCTTTGTTCATGCTTGTTGCTTATCACTGGGTGAGTGTGACAGTGT